ACTATTTTTCAGGTTATCTATAGCTTCTCTCACTTTTATGTGTGACACTTCTTTAAAACTGAAACTAGGGCTATTAATCAAGGAGTGAGTAGACTTACTTGCTATATCACAGAGTTCAATATCACAGTCATTATTGCTTTGCGTTCCCAATTTTGAAATTTCATTTATAAAATAGTTGTTAAAATCGTCACAGGTCATATCACAGCTTAATTTTTGACTATTAACACTTTTATTGCTAGTTTCGTTGATAATTTTCCACATAGCCTTAACTTTATTACTTGCAGTAGAGATGAATTCTTCATTACAAAGCATTTTCTTTTCATTTATTTTGTCACGATATACTTTCCTAAACGAGTTTTTTGCTGACTTGGTTTGTTCACTCCCAATTAGATTATTTATTTCACATAAATGTTGTAATGTTTTCCGCATTTGAATTAATTCACTATCAAACCACTTTACAGTTTTCTTGTTGTTAGGTTGACGCTTGACTACTTTTAGAGGGAAGGCTTGCCCTACATGACCTTCTATTAGATTTACAAATTTTGTGAACAAGTCGTCAACTGAATTATTACTGCATAGCTTAATGAAGTCCCAGTTGATATTGGACACCGACTCGTACAATTTGAATTTACCAAGAGCAGTAATTGGCCTATGTTTAATAAACTTTGTTTTTTGTTTGTTTTTAGTAGACGAAATTAACACTTTAATTTTGATGCCTCTATGATCTGATAGGTGTAAATTCCATGGACTAATTTGAAAAAGTGCGTGATCTAGATTTGTAAAAACGTTATCCAGACAGTTGTTATTTCTAGTTGGAAATTCTACTAAGTGAAAAAGCCCATAAGTTCTCATAAAATCTAATAAGCAATCTTTTAAAGGATCTTCTTTGTCAAATTTTACATTAAAGTCACCAGTCAATATTATGTTGTTCTTTAATGTGTTAATTATACCAAAAACTTTTTCTAAAGTACTCAAAAATTTGTACAGATCTCCAGAGGGTGATCTATAGACATTTATCACATAAATTTCTAGGTTATTCATATAAATTCCAGACATCTCACCATGTTTCTCAATTGAGAGTTGTTCGAGATTTTGGAGACGAGTGCAAGAAACTTCAGCGTTCCCCATAATCATTGTGCCCCCATGTTTCGTTGAGTTTCTGGAAAAATAAGACTCAGTTACAAAATTATTGACACGTATTTGGTCAGCTTCTACTGCCATCAGCCAATGTTCACAAAGGGTAAGGAGGGAGAAGTCATCGTTTGCTACTGCTGCCTCAAATTCCGCTAGTTTAGCCCTCAGTGATTGGATGTTGATTGACAGAATGTTCAAATAGCCTTCTACCTCTAAGGCAACGCGGTCTTCTTTAGTATCCGATGGAAAAAACGATTGACACAGCTGCCAGGAGGCCAGGTTTCAGGTTTCATAGCTACGTCTTGGTCTTTATGATCAATGGTCACTTTGAAGCTTGAATATAGGTCCGGATATCTTGACTGCAGCTTTTCAACTCCGAAAGTTCATATATTTGACATGCAGAGGTGATCTTCGATATCCTTTGTAGTCGTTGAAGGATTTAGTCGATACACGTGGATGAAGCTTCTTCGTGGGAGTGCTTTGAGGGTACTATTATCCACCGAGCATCCAATTATCGGTTTGTTGGATTCTCTGCGATGTCTTTTTTTGCTTTTTACTTTATTCCAGTTATCTTCTTCATTCTGCAGTGTCTTATTATTGTCCAGGTTTTCGTTATCGTCCTGAACTGGCTCCTGGAGTTCGCTATAACCACGAAGTGTCTTCTTTACTTTCTTATCTTTATCTCTTTGATTTGGTGTTGCGTTTTTTTCTGTTGTTTATCGTTGGTGTTTTTGAGCGGGAGCAGCTTACTGTTTTTGACAATTTCATTAATTTCTTGTGATGTCGTTTCTGGATTATGATTATTAGAAATTCCTTCCTCCCGCTTAATTATGATGTTATTTAGCAAGGTTATTTGCTTGTGGAGTATGTCCAAGTTGGCACATAAACTTTTTATGTGCAAGTCTTTATCCTTCAGCAGTTTTTTTAGATACTTATTTTCTACATTTGCGGTGTCAGAATTCTCAATTGCAGAACTAAAGGATTCATTCTCTAATAAATGGGCGTTAAATAAACAAAATTTCTCTTTCGCTGCAATGCCTGAAGTAGATATAAAAAAGCAAAAGACCTAAGATCCGAAGCTTACAAAAGCTTTTTTTCCAATAATTTCCGATTTTTTTTATTTCTAGATTTTGCAATTTTTTTATTAGAGATTCTCGAGTTTTCAATTTTACGATTTTCACTGATTAGCAAATTTTTGCTTAGCATTTTACCATCTACACAATAGTCGTTAATATGCATACAAAATTTACTGTAATTTCGGAACATGAAAGTGTCTATGGTCTCGATTACTATGATTAGCCTACGATTACGCTATGTACAATCGAGGCACTTCTATTGGGAAATATGAATGATACTTCCAATGCAGGGATTACAACAGCCGGTAATTGTTACCTTAGAGGCAACTTTATTTCGAACCGATAATAAAATCAACGTAGTCTAGATCTCGTTAGAGTAGAAGCACACAACATGTTCGCCTATATTATTCGTACCCTTATTTTTTGGTATCTTCAAATATCATTCTTATCGCAAGGGTTTACTTCGATAAGCTATATTACAATAGATGACAAAATGGACGAGAAACCGCACAAGGAGTCCATAATTTTGACATCAGAACCTGTGCAGATGATAAACGTTAAAGATAAAGTTAGCAAATTGTTCGACGGGTTATTTAATCTCTCATACCCACTCCAATGCTTGCAGTTTATAAACACCTACACTGTAGAAATAGAACCAGATTTTCTTCACGGACAAGAAGTTTATGTACTTTACATTCAAGAAAACAACATTAAAGTTATCCAAACATACACTTTTAGGAATCTCAAACTTTCACATATAGATCTCAGTCGTAATGGAATCCAGTTCGTTGAAAATCTAGCATTCGCTAATCTTTCCAATCTACAACAACTCACTCTTGAAGAAAACAAACTAACGACTTTGAACCCCAAAGCCTACGAAAACTTACCCACACTTGAAGACCTGCTTTTAATGAAAAACTACATCACACAACTGGGACCATCTTCATTGGATTTTGTCAAGAAAAAAGGTTTTATGTTGTCTATATCAAATAACAGGATTGCAAACATCGACGAAGACGCCTTCGGAGGATCAAATGCCACGAATGTATATCTTTTCCTGGAAAACAATTTGCTGCAACAAATTTCGGTCAACATTTTCCAGAATCGCAGTTTTGTAGAAGTTAGGTTAACGGGAAACAAAATTCGTACTTTGACCGGTAATCTTGAAGAGCAAAATTTTAAAATTCATGTTTTGAAAATCGAAAACACTTTTGATAAAAAAAGTTTAGAGTCGCTTTTAAACTGGACAATGCAGAACGACATAACTTTAGTCTGTGAAACCTGTGTTAGTACGAATATAAAAAATCTTGGGCAACCGGTACATTTTCAGGAAGGTTTTTCGATGGTTTTTCCGATTTTTTCGTTATTTGTTGCTGGTGAATTTTGGTCACATAAATTCTTATAGGTTTACTTTCCATTAGAAATGAATGTTAATCAGAGAGATACAATTGTGTCTAATTATGGTACGCACCATCTAGTTGGAAACTCAAGAATTTCAGGAATTTCCTTTGAATATATTCTAAACGATCTACATAATACGCAGTGTCGTTACAATTGATAAACTGCAGCGTTATAAATAAACAGTGGTTTATGAGTCCACCTTTATTTTCTCAATGGGTATATTAATTAATTAATTCCGAAAACGTCAAGATAATAATCGCGCAAAAAATCTTCTTCTTGGTGGCAATCCTGCGAAACATCGGAGTTGCCCTAAACCTGCCACTAAAAAACGGAAAATCATACGTCATATCTATCACGTAATTTTTCATGGTGTAGTGTCCAGCCGCCACGGGGCATTTCCCTGGATTCCTAATACCCAAAGACCTCTCCATTTCCACCCACATGGATATGACACCCGGAGGCGACATAGTCATAGCAACGTTACACGGATCTCTGTGAAAAGGAAAAAACGGCATGTTGATCCACTTGCCGTTGCTCCACTTATCCATCAAAAGAGTACCTTCAGCTGACTCGTCCAATGGTTGGGTGAAAGTAAAATCAACATTAAAAACCCGATGGGTGCGGTTAAGTCTATCCACGCGGAACATTCTCATTGGTACTTCGAGTTTATCGTTATCTGGACACAAAGTACCACTTTCTATATTCACGGCGTATTTGTCAGTCATCTGGAAGAAAATGGTGAAGATATGGAGAGGTTATGGGTTAACTTACGAAAGACGAGTGGCTGTTGCTGAGGTGCAGTAGGATGAAGAGAAACGGTTTTAGGGACATGGTACCGAATGGAACGTGTGCTGACCGAGTGATGCATTTTTGAATGGTTTTAAATCGGTGATTTGGTGTTAGATGGTTATCGTAATTGGGCATGTTGAGGATGGGAATAATTGATGTTTACGTTTAATTTAACAAAGTGTACTGTAGTGGAAAAGTGTTTAAAATGTTCTAAAGTTTTTGGGTGAATAAATCAGAACCAAAAATTGGCTAGCACAAGGGATCTTTAAGATTCTTAATATGAGAAAAAGCACTCTTTCAGAAACAAAACAATAGAAATCTTTGTATACTAAAATTTTTATAAATTGTACACTAACAAAATAGATAGACACAGTTCAGTCAATCACATAAAATAACCTTGTCAAATCCTACTTTTTATTATCATTATGGCACCTCACGACTCATTTCCTTATCATCTGTTTCGTATCGCTCACGTAACGGTTGTGCTACATTTTCATGTACTTTTATGTAAATTGTTTTTACAGGTGTGTAACTCATCAAAACACTGAATAATAAATGCTGAACCCTAGATAGTACCTTGAAAAACTACTATACTTAACAATGAATCGCCAAAAAAAGACACAAAAACCACTCAATCCTGTAAGCAGAACTAATTTCTTTGCAAAATTATTTTTCACGTAAGTAGAATACCCGAATGACAGTACCAGAAAATAACACTAAAGATTTAGTTACACAGCCAAACTCTTTCTAAAAGGGTACAAAAAAGAGCTGAATGAAACCGACATATACGAAGTACTACCATCGTACGAGTCGAAACAATTAGGACAAAAACTAGAAAAAGAATGGACGAAACAAGCAGCAAAGAACCGAAACTCCTTACCACATCTTCTGTTCAAATGCTTCGGCAAACAGTACTTTCTACTAGTACTAACTTTAATCATCCCGCTAACTCTAACGTACGAATTCTTCCGACATTGCAACTTCCAAATTTACGTTCCTTCTTCCAGAGCTGTGAAACCCAGAGTGACCAAAAGATTTATTTTGTACTTCGCTTCAGACCGTACCACTTTTCCAAAAAGCGAAGCCTGTGCCTATGGAGCATTGTTGGTACTAATCGAGTTCATTAGAGCTTTATATGCCCACAACCTCGAGCTAGGACTCATCACGTTTACTCTAAAAATCCGCGCTGGTCTCACTTCTCTAATCTACAGACGAATTCTAGAATCGGAATCGGTATCAATTGGCAGAAGTGTTAATCTCATCACGAAAGATGTGTCAGAGTTTGAAGAATTCGTACTAATGGTGACTTTCATGCTGAGAGATATCTTGAAAATTGTTGTTGTGTGTTACGTGTTGTATACAGAAGTTGGTTGGCTGTTTGTGATTTTGATTGTCGTTATTGGCACGGCGGTGACTATCAGTGGTGAGTTGTAGTACCGGTGGTCAATCAGGGTTGGCTTTACCCATTTTAGGAATATTGGCAATTTTTGTGAAGAAACTCAGAGTTAGAACTTTGGCAAAGACGGATGAGAGGCTTCAAACGACTAAAGAGGTTTTGGGGGGGATATCGTTGATCAAGTACTACCTGTGGGGTGACTATTACCAAGACAAAATTCAAGGAATTAGAAAGTAAGAGCTTAAAATGGTACATCTCATATGAGTTTACGTTTCCAGAAAAGAAGTGTCTCTTCTTACTAAAATATTTATCTTGTTGAACGCCAACGTCATCATTTCGTCTTCGTTTATTGACATCTCGTGGTACATCATTGTGGTTAGCTTAATATTTTCCGGAGTTAACTCAAATGTTGGTACACTGTTTGTCATACTGAACAGTCTCAACGCACTTCGTATTCCTCTGCAACACATCTTGCCACGGGCAGTACTAGAATTTGCAACAATAATCGCTGCTATCACAAGAATCGAAAATTTTCTTAGAACAACAAGCAGAAACATCGACGAACCTTCCACAAACACTCCTTTATTGAGTGTGAAAACGCCACACGTGGACTTTGAATACAGTAGTGGAATCACGGCCATAACCGGACCAGTTGGTGGCGGAAAAACATACTTTTTAACAATTTTGGCAAAAGAAGATATGAAAAGTTTTGCTTATGCATCTCAGGAGCCGTGGCTTTTTCCAGCTACCATTAAGCAAAACATATTATTTGGAAGTAGTTTCGACCAAGAGCGATATCTGGAAGTCCTAAGAGTATGCGCTTTGCTTGACGAAGTACAAGACTCGACGGTGGTGGCAGATAAAGGAGATAATCTGAGTAAAGGCCAACAAGCAAGAATCAATCTGGCACGAGCTGTTTACAAAGACTGCGACGTGTACTTAATCGACGATTGTTTATGTCATTTGGATGTGATGGTCGCAGATTTTGTTTACGAGGAGTGTTTGAGAAAATTTTTGAACGACAAAATCATTCTTCTGGTTACGCAAAACGTGCACTATATTGGTAATACCGACAGAGTAGTTACACTAGAGAATGGAACTATTAAGAGTGACGATAAGCAACTGGTGAAAAAAAAGTTAACAATAAAAGAAAATACAACTGCTGAGACTACAAAGTTGGTTGAAAATCTTGAAGCGGATGACAATGTTTACCAAGAAGTGAAAGCTTCAGGAAAAGTCAAATTAGAAGCGTATCAGAAATATTTAGACGCTTGTGGTGGACTTTCAAAAATTGTTGCTTTCTCTCTGATTGTGTTAACCCAGGTTTTGAAAACTAGTGTTAACAAGCTACAAGCTAACTGGTAAATTCTAGTATCACATAGATGGGTATAATTGGTATTGTTGTAGGATTGGCACTGAACAACTTATCTTCAAGAATTCCACCACGACGAAGGCACTAGAAAATCGACAAAGAATGATCTACGTTCTCCCCATTTTAATTGTAGCAGCAACTGTGCTTTTCATTGCCAACACAATATTTTGCTGGTGTCTGGCTAAAAAGGCTTCTATATCTATACACAAATTTTTGTTGTCTAAAATTGTTAATTCTTCAACGGAATTCTTCAATAGCCACTTCGCTGGAAACATATTAAATCGTTTTTCGGAAGATATGCTCTACCTTGAAGAATTCGTGTCTAGAACATTCTACGAACTGTTGAAAGTGAGTTTGCTTCATCGATCTAAACTTACACTTTATATTCTAGCACATTGCAGAAACAGCCGGGATCATAATTCTAGCAGCCATGATAAACGTCTATTTTTTGATCGGGTGTTTAGTTTTTGGTGCAATAATCATCACTTCCAGAACGATTTATTTAAGAACAGGACGTGCACTCAAGCGACTGGAGTTTTCAAGTACGCTCCCCCAATAATAATATTTTTGATATAAAAGTATTTTTCAGCACGCAGTCCTTTGGTTGGTCATATTAACGCAACTCTAGACGGATTGGCAACTATTACAATTTCCAAAAAACAAAATCTTCAACGTGAGGAATTTGATAAACGCCAAGATTTGTATACTTCGTCTTCGTACATGTATATGTCTTGTGAAAAAGCCTTTCATTTGACTGTTGATACATGTGCTGTGTGTTTTGGCGCTTTTGCAGTTGTTTTGTTTCTAGTTTTAGATCAAGGTAACTTTATAAGTGGCTACAAATCGACAATAAAGTTTACCGTTTTAGATATATCGTCTGACAATGTAGGCCTCGGTCTCTTGCAAATATTTATATTTACCATAACACAACAGACGTTGTGCCGCTCTTGGACCAGACTCGAAAACTATATGACGACAGTTGAAAGAATTCTCCAATACACTAGGCAAACCCAAGAAAATAAAAACGGCGTGGTTGTGACAAACTGGCCTTCAGAAGGCGAAATAACATACCAACACGTGTATTTTGCCTACAACACCACCAACGTATTAAACGATTTAAATTTTGTTGTAAACTCAAAGACAAAATTAGCTATAGTTGGACGAACTGCTTCCGGGAAAACTTCATTGGTGTCTCTTCTTCTCCGTCCATATGGATTCAAAGGAAACATATTTATTGACAATGTTGACATAGCTACCCTTTCTTTAGATTTGCTCCGGTCCAACGTCTTTATAATTTCCCAAGAGTCTACCTTGTTTTCAGGAAGTCTTCGTGACAATATTGATCCTACGAAGAAGTTTTCTGACGATGAAATTTGGCAAGCTTTGAAAATGGTGCATTTGGCGGAACTGTTTCAAAGTTTGGAAGATAAGATTGGTCAAGATACAAAATTGAGTGGTGGGCAAGAACAATTGGTTTGTTTGTGTAGAGCTATTGTGCGGAAAAGCAAGGTTGTAATTTTGGATGAGGTTACAGCGAATGTTGATTCTGATACAGAATCTGTAATACATAGTGTAATTTTAAGTAGTTTTGGGGATAGCACTGTCATCGTCATAACCCACAAATTTCGGTATATACTGGATTTTGACAACGTTCTGGTTTTAGACAATGGTACTGTAGCTCAGGTTGGTGATCCGCGTCATCTCCTAGAAGACAAAAACGGAATGTTTTACAAATTGTATGAGAAAAACCGTAAACAATAAATTTTGTTAACATATTTACACAAGTACCCACTATTTCGCAAAAGCTCCTCCATTGTTCCAGGATTTTCAAGTAGATTTATAAATTTGTAGCTGACGTTGCTGTTCGAAGTTGACGTTGACGTTGACGCAGCGAAGGTATGCGTGGTTTATATCATCCGTTGACGTTACCGTTGAAAGTTGGCACACCGTTGGGGTGACGTTCGAGTTGACCAACTTTTAAGGTTCACCTTTACGTTACTACTAATTAAATGCTGTAGTGTGCAGTGCTACCAGCTTTTTACCTAGTCACCGAAACCTTCATACTTTAAATAGCTACCATCATTTCCTACACTATAGCTTTCTGTCACTAAAGATTTATTGCTATTCGTCGCAAAAACAAAATGGGAAATTTGTATAAGGAAATATCGATTTTGCAATTACGCTCCGCCCCTCGGTCTAACAACGAACGAAAAATTCATCAGGATTGAGATCGAGACGGATGGGTGGGGCTTCTCTTTCCGTTTTCTCTTTTAATTAATACATTTAGTTTTCTTTGTATAACACGATCACTTAAGAAAATTTCTCGTAGAAAAATAAGGATTTTACAATTAATCCCCGCCCCTCGGCTTACGACGAATAAAAAAAAAATCATCACAATTGAGTAAGAGCGGGTGGGCGGGGCCAAAATTTTCCCTTTTTTCCTAATGTACTCAGCCATCTTTTCACAACAAGAAACTTAGAACATGGTTAAAATGCTACATTTTTGGAAGGAAATATGGATTTTGCAATTATGGGGCGGAGCCTAATTTCAAAATCGATATTTCCTTATTCAAATTTTCCATCTTAAACTTGTTTTAAGTTTCATGTTGTGACAAGAAGTCTGCATATATTAAAACAAAAATTAAAAATGTAAACCCGCCCACCCGCCCTATCTCAATTGTGATGACCTTTCTTATTCGCCGTGAACCAAGAGGGCGGAGCTTAACTGCAAAATGCTTATTTCCTTATAAGAAATTTATAATATGTTTTTGAGTATCGTGTTGTCAAAAGAATACTATGTATATAAAGAAAAAAAAGACAAAATATAAACCCCGCCCACCCACCCCATCTCAATTCTGAAGATTTTTTTTACTCTAAGAAACTTAAAACTCGTTTAAAATGGTAAATTTTTATAATAAAATTGGATTTTGCAATTAGACTCCGCCCCTAGGTCTACCAACGAACGAAAACTTCATTACTATTTAGATCAGGGCAGGTATGGGTAGGACTTAATCTTTAGCTTTAATTTTTTCTTAATATATGTGCCTAGTATTCTTTGAATATCACGATACTTAGAGAAATATATCTCGTAATAAGGACTTTGCAATTAAATTCCGCTGATTTGGCTCTCGACGATTAAAAAAATCATCGCAATTGAAACAACGTGGGTGGGGCTAATATTTTGGCTTTTTTCTTAATATACGTAGTTGAATTTCTAGAACAAGAAATTTAAAACATGTTTACAATGGTAAATATGGATTTTGCAATTAAGCTCCGCCCCTCGATTGAAAAATTCATCACAATTAAGAATTGAGATCGGGGCGGGTATGGGTGGGGCGTAATCTTGGGCTTTTTCTTTCTTCTCTTGAACAACACGATACTCAAAACATGTTTTTCATTTCTCGTAGAGAAATACGGATTTTGCAGTTAAGCTCCACCTTCTTGGCTAACGATGAATAAAAATATCATCACAATTGACACAGGGTGGGTGGGCGGGGCTACATTTTGCCTTTTTTTTTCTTAATATCTGTAGACTTGTTTTGACAACAAGAAACTTAAAATATGTCTAAAATGGTAAATTTTTGTACTAACGGCAACTTGGCAGCGGAGTTTATAAATGACAATTTTCACCTCTAAAAGCAACGTCAGCGGCAACTTCAACGTCAACAGTAAGTTTTTAAATCCCACTTTCATTTTTTTGTCCCGATTCCGTGTGTTTTCAAATTTGCTTCCTAGTCTTAGTTCTTCGAAACCTTGAAGAGAGTTTGTACATAGTTGCCAAATGAAATTGACTCATCGTGAAAATTGTCTAAGTGGAGGATTTAATTATTTACCAAAAGAAGAAGTGTGAGAAGAATTTTGAGTTGTCTTTGGGGTGAACATCTTCAGATCTACGTATGTTAATGAATTTTTTGTTTTGTTTTTGAACCATCAGAGTTTGTTGACTTTAGTTAAAATAATATGTTAAGGCGTAAAAAGTAAATAAAATGCAACGATAGAATTATTCAACTACTCGCTTATCTGTAGAATGTTATCGCAAATAATACGCATTGACGTTGCTATTGCCAAACTGCCGCGTTATAAATAAACATACCTGTGGTTTATGAGTCTGCTTTTATTTTCTAATGGGAATTAAGCAACGTATCTTAATTTATTATCTCCGAAAACGTCATGATCATAATCGCGCAAAAATTTTCTTCTTGGTGGCAATTCTTCGAAAAGTCGGAGTTGCCCGAAACCTACCACTAAAAAACGGGACCTCATACGTCAAATCGATCACGTAATTTCTCATGGTATAATTCTCTGCCGACAATGGACACTTTCCTGGGTTCTTAAAACCCATACTCTTCTGCATTCCCACCCACATCGGTATCATCGCTGTAGGCGACACAGTCATAGCCTTAGTACACGGATCTTTCTGAAAAGGCAAAAACGGGATGGTGATCCACTTGCCGTTACTCCACTTTTCCATCAAAATAGTACCTTCGTCCAATGGTTTGGCGAAAGTAAACTCGGCACTAAGAACCCGATGGGTGCGGTTAAGTCTGTCCACGCGGAACTTTCTCATTGGTACTTCGAGTTTGTCGTTGTCTGGACACAAGGTACCACTTTCTATATCAATGACGTATTTGTGGGTCATCTGGAAGAAAATGGTGAAAATGTGGAGAGGTTTTGGGCTAACTTACGAAAGACGAGTGGTTGATACCGAGGTAGAGCAAGATGAAGAGCAACCATGTTAGCGACATGGTACTGAATGGATAGTGTGATGAGCGAGTGATGTATTTTTGAATGGTTTTAAATCGGTGATTTGGTGTTAGATGGTTATCGTAATTGTGAATGTTGAGGATGGACTAATTGGTGTTTACGTTTAATTTAACAAAGTGTACTGTAGTGGAAAAGTGTTTAAAATGTTATTGTTCTTGTTAAACAATCAACAGTGCATGTATGCGGACCTATATTTATCAAATAAGTTCTTATCTCTTGTAACCCTCTATACATGTCCATGAAAATGTTTAACCTCAATAAAAGGCAATAATTGTTTTTTTTATTTTATTAATCCTGCACTACCTAACACAAATTAATCAACTCTCATACACATATTTATACAAGTACCCATCACTATTTCTCAGAAGCTCCTCCGCCCTCCCAAATTCCACAACATACCCATCATCTATCACCAAAATCTTGTTCGAATCCATCACAGTGTCCAACCTATGAGCGATCTTCAAAACCGTTGATTGTTGAAACCGTTTCTTAATAGTCGCTTGAATCAACTTATCAGTTTCCAAATCCACAAAAGCCGTGGCTTCGTCAAGAACCACCACCATAGATCTCTTCAAGACGGCTCTAACCAAACACAAAATTTGCTTCTGCCCTACACTAAAATTGGAACCACTTTCCAAAATAGAACTGTCTAAACCTGAAGGCAGATTTGAAATTGTCGTTTTCAAATTCACTTCCTCCAAACAACTCCATAGTTGGTTATCGGTGAATTCTTCAAGTGGATCTAAGTTAGTACGAATGGTACCGGCGAAAAGAACCGGATCTTGCGGAATCACTGCTATTTTGGTTCGAAGGGTCCCCAGAGGTATGAGTTTGATGTTAACACCATCGATGTAGATGGTTCCTTCGAAATCGTATAGACGAAAAAGGGTGGAAATAAGAGACGACTTTCCGGCACCAGTTCTACCAACGATGCCTATTTTGTCATCAGGTTGGACTTCGATTGTGATATTTTTGAGAACGTAGGGTTTTTCGGGTGAATATCGCATGGACACGGAATGGAATTGAATTTGGCCTGCACTGGGCCACGATGGTGGAGGGATGAGAATTCCTTCGTCCTCTTCTACAATCAGGTCGCCATATTCAGCCACCCGTTCTACTGAAATCATTTGTAGATCAAGATCGTTGTAGAATTTCATGGCGGCTTGAACAGACGCAATCAGTAATAATGTTTCCGTGATTGATAATCCCACATTTCCAACTAATCCATCTAGAAAAAGAAGAAACAAAAAATTGAAACTTGTTCTTCATTGGTGTACCTTTTTTGAAAATTATTAGACAAAAAATGACCACCGCTATGTACACCATGCAGGCAAAATCAATCCAGAAGTTGAAAGCGTGGTACAAGGCTTGATACAAATACCCGATTGAGTTATAACAGTTTTGGTGGTCTTCAAATTTCGACAGACAATGAGTTTGAGCTTTGAGTGCTTTGATCGTTGTCAAGCCTTCCACAGTAGCAACCACGTGAGTAAAAAGCGGACTTTTTCCTAAAAACTGAAATAAAATCTTTGCTGAATATCCTAGAAATACATACGTGTGACTGCAATTT